AAGTAATTAATTTGTTATACTTTTTCTGTTTCTGTTACATCTCTTCCCCAATCAGAATCAGCGTAACCAATAATGATATTTTTATATTTACTCTTTTTACGTTTTGGGGTCCCCTGAATCCGTTTTGGCTATTTTCGCGATGATGTCTGTGTGTTGTGTCTGTGTGTGTGGGCGCCCGCGCATCCACGATAACTCATTAACGGATACAAAGAAAAACACCAAATTTTAAACTTAAGCTTTATTCCGTCCTGGAAAAGAAAATTCTTTAAATTAATGTTACTGACAATATTAATCTCTATAATTTTTGTTTTATAAAAATTTTTCCTAAAATGGTCCGTATTGACGAAATTTAACAAAATGTAAAAAAATAAAATTTTCATGAATATTACTCAAATGAAAGTTATTTGTGAGATAATTCTCTTTAATTTTTATATTATACAAAATTTCTCTAAAATGGACCCTATTCGAGATATTAAAAAAAATGTGTAAATTTAGAATTTTAAAGAAAACTCAAAAATGGATAAAGAAAAACACATTAAATGTTAAACTTAAGCTTTATTCCGGCCTTAGGTGAACTGATTAAATTTTGGGTACTTTATAAAAAGTTTTTTATATTTTATGGAATATATTAGTTATTTATCTATGGAGAGAAAAATTGTTTAAATAAAAGTTACTTCTTATATTATTCTCTATAATTTTTAATTTATTAAAAATTTTCCTAAAATGGCCTGTATTCGAGAAATTTTACAAAATGTAAAAATTCAAATTTTTAAGAAAATTTTTAAATAAAATTTGTTTGTGATATAATTATCTATAATTATTGTCATACACATAATTTCTCTAAAATATACCGTATTCGAGATATTTGTGAAAAAGTGTAAATTTTGAATTTTAAAGAAAACTCGAAAACGGATAAAGAAAAAACCTTAAATTTTAAACTTATGCTTTACTCCGACCTGAGGTAAACTGACTAGATTTTGGGAAGAGTCGGAACATCTGTCGGAACATCTGTTTTTCAAGTTCCAGAAAACACAAAAAAAAATAAACTCTACTGTCCTTTTAATGGAAAACCGTCTTTAGACCTATGCATGTGACCATACACTAAAATTTAAATGTTATTAAAATAAAATAATTCCTGATTCTATTATTACAAATAAACAAATATTGGAGGAGATTATAACAGAAAATTCTGAATTAAGAAATTTAATTAGTGCTACTGAATTTAGAAAATACAAGACCTAAACAGGAAATTAAATAATCTAGAAATCGAAAATAATAATTTTAAAAATAAAATATAATCACTTGAGAAAGAAAACAAAAGGAAAAATTTAGTTATTTTTGGACATGAAAGAGAAGAGACAGTGTTGAATGTAAACTCAGTAGTTGCAGAAGTAAATCATCTTTTGAATCTAGAATTAAGCGAAAATAAAAATAGAATTTGTATCATTTCTAAAAAAAATAAAAGTCCTTTAAAACAGATAAAAAGTTTGAAGAAATCAGAGCTGGTTTACTGTTAGATTTTGATACCAATTGTAAGACTTCAAGTATCGCAATCGCTTCTTTAGTGCAACTAGAAAAGTTATCAACTAGTTTGAACAAATTTTTAATATTAAGCAACGGGATGTAGTAGACGCAGCCAGTGCTAGGGGTGTGACTTGAAGACATCAGTGTATATAACTGTAAAAACGACAGAGCTAAGTTGATTTTCAATAGTTAATCCTTTGTTTCTACAAGTTTTTTTTTTGTATGGGCTCAGTTTTATAACAGCCGATTTATTTTTAAATCATCGGCTTATAAATAGTATATTACATTACGAGTGTGGAAAGTGACATTTTTCACACGAGTGGAAAATATTGTCGCACGAGGCACAAGCCGAGTGCGACTATCACACGAGTATGGAAAATCACTTTTCACACGAGTGATGTACAATATTTTTCCTACGACCACAAAATAATTTCATTAAAAAATGTAAAAATAGGTTACTATTGTAATAATTAAAATGTATATAATCAACAAAAATCGTATTTATTCAATTTTCATATTTTCTAAACAAAAAAAAAACTAAAAAACAAAAAAAAATTCTGCCTCCGGAACGATTTGAACGCGGTCGCTAGTCAGGTTCTCAAATGGCAAAGTTGATAAAATTTGATAGTCTAACCACCTGAGCTAATAGACTTTGCGCCAATTGAATGATCTAATCGGTTATGTTGTAATGAAGTCAATTTTTCCCCAATCAGTTTATTTTAATTTTTCATTTTTAATAAATATTAAACGCGATTGAAATGTTGGTCCTGAGCTAAGACAGATGCGCATCGCCGATCGACATATCGATGCGCGGTGGTACTGCGGTTGGTGAGGTTTCTGGTAGTGGAAGGGTTTTTGACGACTGAACGAGGTCTGAGATTCTATTAAAAATTTCAGTTCAGAATAACACTTGATTTCAGCTAGTTAAAAGTAAAAGCCGCATTCTCAACTAAGTCCGTTGTCGATAAATTTTTCGTGTTTATAAATCTGTTAGGTAAAAAACCTTGTTTCGTTTTTACGTATATATTTTTTATAGAAGAAACGTTTTATATTGAGACCGTATTTAATTTACAAACCGAATTATCTTTTAGAAATAGAAACATTTTAATTCCGTGTTAAGTTAAAAGATTTAATCTGACTTCATTAATAAATATTAGAATTTATTTCTTGGCCAATATAATACTGTTTTTATAAATATTGTTGGAAGAAAGATTTAATTTGATTTAATTAATAAATATTAGTAGTTGGCTCTTTAAAGATAGAATAGCGTTTCTTTAAAGGGAATTAAATATCATTTAAACAACAAATGATAGGGTTTAGTTCTTTAACATTGTAATACCGTTGCTTTAGACTTTTGATAGTTAGTCTGTCCTAAGAAATTAAACTTTTCTTTTTGGTAGGTTAAATCCGGAATTAAATTTGATTTCATTGATAAATACTTTGTTTAGTAAGTGCCGCGTTATAACTAAGTTGGAAATGTTTAGAAACAAAGTTTCCGAGGAGACGTTTTCCCTCTTTTAATAGTTTGTTTATTCTTTTACCGCAAATTTAAATAAGAATAGTGTCCTGTCGCCGTCTGAACGGGCTCGTGATGACGATCAGTTCATTCTTGGATTATGTGCTATCGGCGTTATTTTTTATTTTTTTAGTTAATGTGCAAACCGCAAATTTAAATAATCTTAAATAGTATCCTGTCCCAGTCTAAGCCGGCTCGTGATGACGATCAGCTCATTCTTGGATTAGGTACTATCCGCGTTAGTTTTTTTCCCCTTTGTATTTTTAATTATTTTCGTGCAAATTGCAAATTAAAGAAATCGTAAAAAGCTTCATTACCCTGTCTGAGCGGGCTCATGATGACGATCAGCTCATTCTGGGATAACAGGGTACCCCGGGTATAAATTTATTTTTGTTTTCTCTTTTCGAATATTTACTTCAAGTAGTTCTTTCACGACCCTGTCTCCTCGCACTCTCTGCGACCGTTTTGATAATTCTTCCTTACCGAAATAGTAAAGTACCTACATTTAAGTTTAATTCCCGATACGACCGTTAAATAGTTAATTTTTGCTACGACCGCTTTTAGAATTTTTCCCTACCGAAATGAAAATTAATGTTTTAGTTTAATTACCGACTAAATAGTCAAGGTTATAATTTCTTCTGCAACTGAAACACTCATTTTTTTTAATTCAATTTTGACGTCTGATTAATACTAGTCGGGATTTAATACCATCCGTTTTGTTTGTTTATTTTTTTTGTTCAGGGTTATATTGACTATCATCGCAACTAGGGTGGGCGTTGAAATAGATAATTTTTATTATTTTTAATGTGTAAATAGTCATTCACAATATATGTGTCAATGTTAACTTGCCGTATTACTGGTTATTAATTCCATACATTATTTCCCCTTTGTATTTCAGCTAGCAATAAATTTTGTACCAGCCCAAGCAACGATTAAAGCCCGTTACGTGTGGCCTACTATTACCTGTATCTTAGTAACCTTTGACCCCTGGAATTTTTTATTTCCATCTGTAGCTACCCGAGTACTTTCAACGCCATTTCGAGAGTTTGTGGAGTAAACCATAACCAAAAATCTGGCGCTCGAGAACCGCCCGTAACCATCGCCATTCGTAAGGAACCGTTTTCTCTGTAGCGAGAAAACCCCTTACAATGTGTTTAACTAGAATAAAAGGCAAACATAACTTAGTTATTTTAAAATTATTTTAATATTAATTGTTAAAGATAAATATCTAGGATCTAATTTACACTAATTTTAATAATTTAACAATCATATCGACTTTAGTGTTAATATGGACATTCATAGATCAAAATTGAAATGATGCATTTGACATTTTGTGACAGCTGATGCGGAAAGTAGCATACTCGCACACGGGTGGAAAGTAAATTCTTATTCATACGCGGGTGATATAGGGCACTTTCCATAGGACTATATAATGTCACATGTGTCACTTTCCTAGGTGGTCGCAGGAAAAGGCATTTACATCAACACACTCCAAGATGTCGTTTATGAAGATATTGGAAAGTATATAATTTATGAATGTAATGAAGACTTAGTTTATGGTTTACCATTTTTATAGCTACAGGATTCCATGGTCTATATGTTTCAATTAGAACTACATTCTCATTTATTTCTTTTGTTTATAATTTTGTATTTAAAGCTGCATTTTGTAGATGTATGTTGATTATTTAATTATATTTCGATTTGCAGATCCTTGTGAAACCTCAAACGATTCAAAATATTTTACAGACTTAATACTGTTTAATAAAATATACTGATGATGATTTTGTAAGTAAGAACGAAACATAGTCCTCATGAAGTAATATAAAATATATAAAACCCGTGATTTGTAATGTGTTGCTAAGCTGTTGATGTTCTACAGTACCTTAAGTACTTTTGAGCAGTAGTATGTAGTAATTTTAAGATTATAGTAGTAATAAGAGTATTAAAAACCATAAAAATATATCTAATCAATTTATTTAATAAAAACTACAATTAATAAACGGTAGAATCAGCTGGATGGTCTTTGCACCATTGCACTAGGTCCCACACTTTTCCAGTGTTCCACCATATAGTCTCTAGTCTCATTTTAATGAAATCTCCAATTGCATTGCCAATCACGTGAGTATTCAAAGCGGTCTTGAAACTGGCTCCAAAGGCTGCAGCGAGTGGTTTGTCAAGGGGTCCCAGTCCATAAATTGATGCCTATAATTAAAAAAAAATTAATACGAAAAGTTATACATAAGACGTAACGAGGAAATTCGACAGAAGTAATGCAGAAAAGGGTGATTATTTACAGGAAAGTTTTCAAAACTCAGTAAACAGCACCGCTTCCCTACACTTTGAGATTTAAAAATAGATTTTTTCAGTATACAATGCGGAGAAATTAATATTAAATTAGATACTAGATTTTCTCTAAAACATTACGTTAACTTCATAAATATACTAACAATTCATTGGTGTGATGTGTAAACGCACGCACCACTCATGAGAAAATTAATTTTGTAAACGCACACACACACACCATATACTTCGTGTCCGTCGGCGTAAGCGCGTCTTGAAAGAGCCCGTTCATCTTCCAAGAGGTTTCGCTTTGTATTGACCCTGATTTACCGCGACAGTAGTCAGTCCATTTGGAAACGTGAAATACGGTCGAGAGGCAGCGATTTTTACGTCGCCTTACGCATATTGCAATTCGCACCGAGAATAGACGTGTGAGAAAAATCATATATTTCGGTTTGTTTGTGGTAAATTGTGTCTGTATTGTGTGCTCTTTGTTGAAAAATAATTTTCAAGGAGAAATTTTGAAGAGAAAACGGACATTATTAATTCTAAAAGTCAGCAAAGAAATTTACCAGGCATTTTCACGTAGGGTTCTATGAAAAGAATGAATGGTTAACCGGCTGCAAAACTTTAAAGAAATTGATTATCTGGCCTTGCCTACTTTTTAATATAGCCGAAAAAATAAATTGGATGGCATTCCTCAAGAGCGATTCTTAGGATTTTTGGACTTCACTACGAACTGTAGATGCATTGTCTAAAATTGTTTGTGACATTATTTCAAGTTAAGAATGTGGTTCTAAGCTTTTTGTCCAGAGCTATGATGGTGCTGTAGTAATGGCTGACCATTTAGGAGGCCTTCAAGTTAAAGTGAAAGAGAAGTTTAACCATGCAATTTTCGTTCACTGTATAGCACATAGACTTAATTTGGTTTTATCGCGAAGCATGGATAATATTAAAAATTGCAAAATTTTCTTTTCGACGATTAGTGGTTTGGCTTCCTTCTTTTCAAAGTCATCGAAAAGAACTCGCGCTTCGGACATTCACGTTCAAAAAAGGTTTCCAAAGGTTGTTCCGACACGATGGAACTACAATGGATGTTTATTGCAAACAATATTTCAATACCGTGATTCTTCGATACACTTTTTTTAAGACGTTTGGAATAATAAAGAAACATGGGATGCTGAAACTGTTACTGCCGCTAAAGGGTATTTGCATTGGCTCAAACTAAACTTTGATTTCAATTTTTTGCTCAACATTTTTGCAGAGATTTTGCCTTTTACTGACATTTTAGTCGACATTTTACAGACATAGTCAAATGACATTGGCTTTTGCATTAAACAAATTGATGATTTTAAAAATAAAATGAATAAAAAACGAGGTCAGTTTGAACACTTTTGGAATAAAACTCAAAACATTGGCTTAGAACCTAAAAGAAAGAGAGTTAGAATTGATAATGTCGGCAACAGAGAGACCTCCTATCGTCGATTATACGCCGAAATTTTTGATAAAATTTAACAACAAATGAACTCTCGATTTCAAAACTTTAACGAATTAAAATTTGTTGAATTGTGTAATAATTAATATTAGTAAATACGATTCATCAAAATTTCCATCGGAAGCTTTTAATTCACTACAATTAAATTATGGAATTTTTTTCGATATTCCAGCATTAAAGTGCCAGTTAAGTGTTGTTTATGAAACAACTGAAATTAGTGATAAAAAGACGCCCATCAATGTGTTAAATTTTCTTATAACAACTGGTTTAAATAAGTCCCTTTGTAAAGTCGTCAAGTTGTCTGAATTAATACTAACTATCCCAGCCACAAGTGCGTCAGTTGAGCGAAGTTTTTCAACTTTAAAGCGCATTAAAAGTTTTATACGAAATTCAACAAGTGAAGACAGACTCTCTAATTTAGTTCATATATCCATTAAAAAACAGCTTGTTAAACAGTTATCAGAAAATCAAAAATTTTACGACAAATTTGCAACCATTGAGGATAGGCGAATAGATTTTAAGTATAAACAAATGTCAACTTCTGTGTCAACTGTGCGAAAAATGCTGGAAAAAATAAAAAAACTTCAGTTAAATGTTTTTTTTTCTACGTTTAAATAAACTAAGGAAGATTTTCAATGGTAAGTTATTTTTATAGCTTCTAGTACTAAACTAGGTAATAAAGTAATAGTAACACTTCAAAAATCTCAATCTCGAATATCCGTAGTACAGAGAAAAAAGGAAGATTTTAACAAAAATGCCATCGCACGCCACTGTTAGTACATTATTTAAAATGAAACTATTCTGTTCAATAAAATTTAAAATCAATTTTCCAAGCAGTGAGACGTTTTTAAAAGTAAAATAATTATTTTAAAATTGTTTAATCATCTTAAACCCAGAAGTAATTTGTTTTTACTAAAACTTTATGTCAAATTTGTGGAAAATAATAATATCATTGATGAATAAGGTACTCACATATACATCTTTAATCCCCCAGTCAATTTTAACGTAATTGACGGTACCATTGCTAAGTTTAGTTGGTTTGGATAGACTGATGGAACCACTCCAAGTGGATTCAATCAGATCCACACTAAAACAAATAGTTGTGTATAAGTATGTAGAAATGTCATTGATACATTTTTCTTAAATTTGAAGATTAGTGTAAGGTGTAAAAAAGAAAATCCAACATATTAATTAAAAACGTACGTGAAATTTCCGTGTTGTTCTTGATGGAAGATAAATTCACGTTCATCGGCATCAAATAAACCTTTGACTTTCATATCTTTCCAATAGAGTTTGAAGTCAAACACAGCATTTTTATCAGTGTCTCTACTAGTTTGGCTTGCTTCCAATTCCCATGTGCCAAGGTCTGACCACGTTAGGTCGTGGATTTTGATATCGACACTGTAACAGTATTAATATTACTATAGAAAAACTAAATCCTCATCCTCAGCAATCCCGAAGATAAGCATGAATCTTTCTTGTATCTAGGCGAATATGTTATTTAGGAACTTACCGATTGACGACGTAATAAGTTCCACTCCAGCTAAAGTTGTGATTAATGACAACAAAAGGATCATGGGTTGGGATGTTTAGTTCAGGTACACCACCGTTAATGGCTCTTCTGGCACAAGCCATTATGGCTAAGCCATCTTCGAGATCAGTGGCTGAAACAGAAATTATACTTTATTTTATAATAGTTTTTGAACCTTTAAAATGTATCTATTTTCTTTTTTCCAATGCATTTGACTGATAATCGAGGTGAGTAGATTAAACTCAGTGGATTTGAAAGACTGGAAACCAGATCGTTGGGCAAATAAAAAAATGAAAGGGTAAGAATATCACAAATACAACTCTCAAAAATTTGGGTACAGTACTAACGATACTGACTGAATGATAGTTAGAGACATTAGACTCCACTTTTTACCCGTAGGTGCCTGTTCGGGGTCCCGTTGGGACCCCAAGTTATATTTTCATCAAATAACTTTTTTATCTGAACACATTGGCAACAGCGCTTCTAGGTATGTGTCGGTAGATACGTGTCGGGCAGTATTTCAGTACGCTGCGGCACGTTATGGTGATAGTGTCTAATAATAGAAGTTAGAAAGTAAGTGGGCCCCCGCTGCGACCCCGTTTCGGCATTAAGCGATACCAAAAATTTGTGTTGATAAATACGATTTTTTTATAGAATGAAGCGTTATGTGAGAACCAGGCCACTAACTCAAAAAGAACATGAATAACTAATCAACGGTATTGACGACTGGGACTCTGTAGTGGAGTACGAAAGCGATGAAGAGTCGGAAAATGAGATGGCTCAAGATTTGATGACAGAAAATGTGTCGGAAATGGAGGACACCTTAGAAATACAAAGTGAAGAGGAATCAGATGAAGAACCGAGAGGACCTCAAGAAGATGCTGAGGAAGGAGAACCTACGGAAACTCAAGAAGATGTTGAGAAAGGTAGTGGTATAAAATATACTTCCAAATCAGGTTTGCAGTGGAATATGCACCCTTTTGTAACCACTAGAAGATGCCAAAGGAATATTGTAAATGCACGTCCAGGCACTACAGATTACAGTAAAGACTGCAGTACATTCTTAGATATTTTCAACCTCTTTTTAACAATGGACATTAAGGAACCTATCTGTCGTCATAATAATAAAGAAGCTACTAGGAATTTTGATGAGTGGAATACCAAAAATCCCAACAACAACAGACATTGGACAAATCTTGAGGAAGATGAACTTAACAGTTTTTTAGGTGTACTTCTAAAATCAGGTGCACTAAGGTATAGAAAGGAATCTACTAGGGAAATGTGGTCTACTAATACCTCCATACGTTGATCATTTTTCACAGCTGCTTTAGTGCGGGATAGATTTGAGCAAATATCATTATTTTTTCAATTCGATGACAAATCAACCAGAGCTGAGCAAAAGGAAAAAGACAAGTTAGCAGCAATAAGAGATATTTGGGTCATGTTTATTGATAATTGCAGAAAGGCGTTTGAGCCGTACGAAAATATGCCCATTTAGACAATATATAAAATCCAAACCTGTACGGTATGGAATAAAAATTTGGGCAGCCGCTGATGTCAAAACGTCATATTTATGCAACCTACAGGTGTATTCTGGAAAATCTTGCACGGGTATAATAGATAAGAATCAAGGTTTTCGTGTCGTGTCAGATTTGGTAGAACCGTACCAAGGCAGTTGGCGAGGTATAACCACAGATAATTTTTTTTTCAAATGTTCCATTGGTAAATTATTTATTGACGAAGAAATTCACATTACTTGGAACTATTACCAAGAACAAGCCGTATACACCAAATCAGTAAAAAGTAACATCCAGGACAGTTGAGTCATCTATGTTTGCATTTACTTAAGAGCTAACAATGGTCTCTTACATCCCGAAAATGAATAGGATGGTACATCTAATATCAAGCCAACATGATGATGATAAAATCTGTATAGACAACAAAAATAAGCCACATATGATTTTAGATTACAATGTAAGCAAGGGTGCCGTTGACAATATCGATAAGCTCATTAGAGAGTATTCGTGCTCCAGAAGAACAGCTCGATGGCCGTATAGGATATTTATAAATATGCTAGATATTTGTTCTCTAAATTCTTTTATTTTATGTGTTGTAAAAAATTCTAATTGGTAAAAAAAAATAGCTCGCGACGATGATTGTTTCTCTTACAATTAGGAGATCAGCTTACTCAGGCCAATATGGAGAAAAGGTCCCGCTATAAAAACCATAAGGAGCATGTAAAATCGGCTCTACGAGATTGTGGAATAGTAATGCAAGATCAGCATGTTCCTAACCCAGCAACTCCGGCTAGAAAACGAGCCAGATGCTATCAGTGCCCTCAAAAATTGGACAAGAAAGTTAACTTAACGTGCGCACTATGTAGGAAGTTTGTATGCGAAATTCATAGAAAAAAAAAAGAGCAAACAATTTTATGTACCACCTGTTCTTCAAACTGAAATACAAACAAACATCCTGTTGATTAAATTATATAAAAGTTTTACGTTTAGTTTTCATGGAGTAACATTTTATTTTCATTTTTTTATTTTATAAGTTTTTCTTTGCAAACCGCCATTATTTGCCTTGTCAACCATTCTATACTTTTTGTTAAAATTAAATAAATTTGTAGAAATACATTAAAGTGTATTATTTTTCAAAAATGCATGAAAGTATTTGCAAAAAAGACATTTTTACTGGGGTCCCTGAAGGACCCCATACCGGCATGTAGGTTGATTTCAGCAGCATCGGCATTTAAGGGTTAAAGATAGTTATACAGCTTGTCTTCCATGTACTAGAAAAAATTCCAGTACTCAGGAACTGGTTGAATATATGAAATAATGACCCAGCGAGATTGAAACTAAATTTAAAAAAAAATGGGTGGAAAAAAGTCGGGACTAGGTTCCTTATTTATATTGAGGTTATTTAATTTCAAATAAATTTCTGATAATAAAATTCTGTGTCTATTGGCGATTCAAATTAATTTTCGCGCGCCTCTCATTTGTCATCTATAAGTAGGATGTTTGTTTATTTACATGTTTTTGTTTTGGGCGGATTTTGTATTTGTGATTTTTTTAACTGTTTTTAGATAATATTCTTATTGTAATAGTGTTTTTGAGTTTCATTTAGTGTTAATTTAAGTTTAAGTCTCGTGCTTTCGTCATAAATATAATATTTATCATGAGTATGACTTAATTTGTTGGAAATATTCACCTATTGGTTGCTACAAGAACATCTAGAAATATGTATTCACTAAACCCAGGACATGTTTTATTATGTGGTTTAAAGGACATTTCAGGTACCACACGTTTATTATTAATGAACTTATTTAAAAATCTTACTAGACTTATTCTTATATTATGAAGTGAATCATCTAGTACTTTGTATACATGTAAATGGTAATAAAACCGTCAAAAAATAAGATTACAGTTTGATTCTAAACAAAGTTTTGTAAAATTTCAATATTGTGAATTTGTAGATATCCATTTATCGTAAAAATCAAAATTTTATGACTTGTACTTGGAAAATAATAAATACTTCAGTTTTGATTTTGACATTTACACCATATAGATTGCAATTTTCTGGGGACTTTTTCGCAGATTTCATTTTTAATATAAACACTATCACATGCTATAAGAAATAAACAAATTTAAAGCTAAAAAGTAAGAAACAACTCGAATTGTAATTAATACAAATTAAAATGTAAACAATGAACACGGGCGCCAATGTTGCCAAATGATGAATTGATTTTAAAACAAAATTAATAAATAAACTGAAATTTAAAAAAAAAATCAATATAATAAATCGGTTTTATAAAAAAAACTTAAATAAATATAGAGTATGATAACATATTACCATACACAAATTTTGATTCTTAAATAAAAGGTCTTATCCACTTCTTCAAGAGCTAAAATCGTACGACGTAGCGAAGTTTTGCTACTTCTGGCAACACTGAACGATATCCTACTTATACGGACCTTCTACAAATTTCCTCCAGAGGGCGTATCACTTAGCTTGAATCGCGAATAGAGACAAGAATTGGGAATTTCAAAAGTGCTACCAGAATATACTAATGCAAAATACTCCGCAGACATGTTTACTTTATTACCAAGTATACCAATGAATTGCATTGAGCTTTTTAAGTTTCCAAAAGGTTAGAACTTTTTAATGTTTGTGCACGCCTTTGATAATCAGCTGGGCATCGATTAGTTTTGTGATGTTTATGTGCAAGCTCTTTAGCCATGATACATTGCTTTTTAACATATTTTTTACATTAAATGACAGGAAAGGAGTTGGAATTAAAAAAATAACTAGAAGAAAATAAGATGATGATGGTAAACAAATTTATAAAAAGCATGCAAGAACAAAGTAAGAAAACTAAAAAGGAAATGAAAGAATGAAGTAAAAAATCTAATAAAAATGCAAGGAAACAAGAATGGCAATGGAAGAATAAACTAAAAAAAATAAAAACACGGTATAAAAGCAGAAGAAGAAATAAGTCAAATAAAAGAAGAAATATGGAAAAAATTAGAAAAAAACTGTGGAAATATATTGTAGAACTCAATAGAAAACAAGAAGCAATACAGAAGAAGATAGAAAGGTTAAGTGCGCATGTATCTTATCCCAATCACTCACTTATGACTACCCTCACCCCTAAAGTTAAAATTTTGGGAAAATTTTTATTTTTTATAGATTTATAAGTGTGCAGAATCTTATGACCGGGAGCATGGGACCCAGAAAACGATACTCTCTTTTGTATGAAATGGTAAAACGCTAGAGGCTGACAAGCCTTGTGCTAGTTTAAAAAGTTGTTATGGTTACTTTGGAGTTTGGTTCTACTTAGACCTAATTTTATAAATAGAAACCCTGAATTCCAGTAATCTGCCGTGCCCAAAAAGTTATAGTTACTGAATAGATTCATACTAAATATAAATAGGACCTAAGTTAGAACCTAAGTGCAAAAATTGTAGGGTAAATCTAAATCCGGTTATAAAAATAAATAATTTTCAAAAGAGAAACCAAAAAAGTTATATTTTTTTTTATTCTAATAAAATTGAAAAATAAATATGAATGAATTTTGAATAAAATGGTTGCTTACTTTATCGGGTCGGTAATGTAGCGGTCTCACCCGCTTATATTAATTTATAGGCAAGTTTGTGGTCAGAGACAGAGGGGATTCGAATCCTACACCAAACCATGTGGATTTTTATATAAATTGCATAGTTCGGTATAGGATTTGATGTGTGCCGTATTAATAGAAATTCAATTTCTGTTGATATGACATGCAGATCATAAAATCGCCATGTATTACCGTCTCGATGATGATGGGGAAGGTTTTCCTCACCTGTAAGTCAAATGGCATCATCAATCATCTTTAAGTCGCCCCGGAGCGTTAAGGCAAATAATAATAATAGCCGTCCCTTTCCCCGCACAAGCTCAGCTTTTGGGGTTAAAATTCACTCGTAAGGGGGTGAATTAAGGAGAGTATTATTATTATATTATATTATTATATGAAGGAATAAATATAAAAAAAAGTTTAAAATTGAGCAAAAATTTAATAAAAACTAGAATAAGAAAAAAAATTGGTATTTACATAATCTAATTGGAAATAAATAGTCTATAGGTACATGGAATATTTTATAAAAAATATTGTTTAAAATTTTCCAAAATGTCTTTTAAGTAATTTAAATTCATTAACACTGTAATAGAAAGTTTCTTACCGGCAACAACGAATGCCAAAGCCAATAAGGCAACAATTTTTACACCGAACATTATTATTTCGATTTTAGTTCTCTAACTGAAACTGAACGTAATACTTTTAAAAAATCTGTCTATATTTATATGCTTTATGAACAAGACACTTGACATCATAATTGTACTAAAAAAATTTAAAGATTATTTAATAAAATCGAGTGGGTCCAAAGGTCTAAAGCTTTAAAATCAGTTAATTATATATTACAGTTTATTTTAAGTCGTTTCCTTTTGGAGATAGGCAAATGTGCATAATGGTTAACAACAGGTCTCAAGTATTGTAAAATAATTTTTTTTAATGATTAGTATTTTATGGGATCTAGAAAATTGATCGCCTCCAATTTACCGCCAACAATTAACCGCCAGCAATTGACCGCTAGAAGTTTAACCGTCGTAGCAATTGATCGCCTAAGCAATTTATAGCCTACAATTGACCGTCAGCACATTTATCGCCATATAATAAATGGAAAATTTACATTACAAACTAAAAGACCTGCGGGGCAACGGTAGTTTAGTAGGTATAAAAATTACAACTTAAGGGTGGAGCCTAAATACTACAAAATTTCCGAGACTAAACAAAATCTCCGCATTCTTTCTTAATTTTAACAATTGCATAAAGATACGAGGGATGCGTATTCCAAACTCTGACGCGCGAAGTTGAGACAAAGGAACCGAAAAAACCTACCACGGCTGCCGACGTTCATCAGTTCCTGAGTGAGTCAGAGTTACTTATATTAGGAAAACCAGAATCGTATTTGTTTTTCTTGGTGCATTGTGAGATTGTTAAAACGCAGTTAGATTTTTTAGAGGGTTTTACATTATTTTTATATTTTAATTTAGTGAATAGGTTTAGCTAGATTAAATTACATTTAGGAGTATAGAGTTATGAAATATAAATACAAATAACGAAAAAATAGATGATTGGTTCAAATAAAGTAATATCAATTAATACAGGATATTTATTAATTGAGTGCCGATACTAAAGGGTGTGAATCCTTGGGTGATTTTAAGAGGAAAAGTGAATATCAACATATGTCGTAAACCTGAGCTACAGGATGTTAAAGTTTTAAGAAAAAAATAACTATTTTATTATAAGTTTCTTATAATTCTAGATATTTTTATGAAATTTTGCCAAAAAAGTGTTTTTTACTTATGGTGGGTTCCTACTAATATTCAACAAAATATCAAAAGCAGTTTCAATAAACTGGTTTTTATTTTCTTACGCGAAAAGGGTGCGTCGTACGAAAGTACGTCTATGAACCAAATTTGCTCCAAAATAAATAAGGATTTTAAAGATAATTTTGGTTGTTAGAAAAAGCAGTGGCATACCATATTTTTGTTCAAAAATATTCAATTCAAACCCGGTACGGACGTCACTGGTAAAAATTTAAGTCTTTTATGACAAAAAGGCGGGATTGAAAGTGAAAGTTTAGTCTGTTGGTGTGGGACCACCCCTGAGGTACCCTCTTACTATCGAAAAGAATTATAGAAATCGGACAAGGTGGTAAAGAATTATCGCTAAACATACATAAAAAATGAAAAGTTTGAGTATTTTCTCATGGACCCAATTATTAGATTTTGACCAAATTTAAATGGGACCATCCCGGAAGTACCCCCTTTTTGACAATAAAAGAATCATTTAAATCGGAAATTGTGTTAAAGAATTATCGCTGAACATACATAAAAAAATATATACCGACGAATTGAGAACCTACTCCTTTTTTGAAGTTGTCCGTTGTCAACAAGTTCCGACAAGGAATATTGCATATACATTTTTTTTATTTTTTTTTGTATCTTTTCTTCCCAAAAGCCGTCATTATGAGATATTTTCTCCACTTTTATTCCTCCAGAAGTCCAAAAGGACAAAAGCACAAAATGTAAAAATCCATTTGTTTTATGTGCAGCTAGCCCTGAATTTGAAAATACCAATAGTGGTTCTCCTTAATGGTATTGTCCTTTTTCCAAAAAGTTATTTCTCTACAGCATATTTCTTCTTCTGCAGTCAGCACTTCAGCTCGATGTGGACATTTTAACTGTATTATAGTTTTGTATTTTTTTTTAATTCCATCCAGACTGGCAGCAACATAACCAAATTCTAATTCCATAAAATGTGCACAAACTTTTAAAAATAAACTTTAAATGTGGGATACTACGAAACTCTTGCATGCTCCGCTCTACAGCCAAGTAAATACTCGTCTTGGTTGTTTTAAAAGTGTTGTTAAAAAATTAAGTAGTTATAGCTAAAATTGAAAGTTACTTATATGCTTAGTGTCTTAGATGGGTCTAAATAAAATTAAATTCAACTGCCATATGGTGAAAAAATTTCACGTAGGAAATTTCGTTTGTGCAAGATTTAACTTTATGATGGTTTTATTGTTTTTAATTTAATTTACTCTGTCATAAACACCACATAAAAGGTTTTCATAAAAAAATATAAAAATAAGTTAAAAATAATGTAAAGGGAGACGTCTTAGAAAAAAAAAAAAAGAAAAAAGGGGGAACCGGAAAAAAAGCTGAAAACGCAATTTCCAAAAGATTCATTTTACAGTTCAGGTATACATTTTTGGGATCGAATATTAGAGAAAAATACAAAAATGCGATAATATACAGTATGCTGCATTGTTAAAAACGCGGGTGTAGCCATGGGGGACAGAGTAGAATTTACAACGAGTATACATAAGCAGAGAGACGTCCCCCTTTAAATGACTTTTGACTTATTTTCTTATAAAAGTCTCAATTTAAAAAAATATATTTAGCGTGATATTGAGCGTTTTCCTTGAAATTTCTTGTAAAATATCCAACTTTGAGATCTTGTTTTTTAATGATTTTTTTCTACACCCACATGGATATTTGCTTATCTATCCACAGATTACAAAACGAAAAAGTATGCTATTGCGTTCAACGGAACAAATGTATTTCATATCCATTCTAGGTAGAGAGAACACTGCAAAAAATAAAATCCACCAATCACAGTTCATATTTTGGACACCCAACTACTACTATTTTTAATATTTTAAATATGTGACAATTCTGTCAAACTAATTGTCAGTATATTTTTTAATTACTGAGATTAAATATACATTAAAATGAGTTATTTTTGTTTAAAATCGATAAGTAATAATATTTTTATTTTATTTGGTCCACATTTTAAAAAATATTGAATTTTATTCAAACTATATAAAACTAATTTAAAAACGAGTATTAAAACTAAAATCATAAATGTGAAAGTGGAGATGAGGATACGGCCTCTACTTCCAAGTGAGATGCCCGGGTTCGAATCAGGGCAGGGGGGACTAATTAAATGAAATCTTTTTTTTCAGGTTTATTTTATTTTATAAATTAGTAGAAATGATATATTATTTTTAAATTAGTTATTTTATCTTAAGCTAATTTTTTTTTAAATTTGTAGATTTTCGTTAGTGGGTCGTAGAAACAATATACTGTACAACTCGAGTGGAATATCCATATCGCACTCAGACGATTAGGCACTCCACCTACGACGTCGTGCGTTTTAATATAATTTACTGATTGCCAATAAAAACTTCGGATTCTTTTTTCTTAACCTTTTATTATAACCATTACGTGAACATCATTTCGTCAACCATAATCTACATTTTATGAAAGATGACAATTGACAATTTGACACATGGCACAAAGGGATATTTTAGCGTTACATATTAACAGTGCGATATGAGCATCATATCCACTTTTGTTGCACAAACTACTATTTAAATAGTGTAGATGGTAGTGGTGAGAAGCGCTGAAATCTCATGAATTCAGTTCAATTGGCTGCCAGTAAATAAACAGTTTTGAAACATTTAATAACGAATGTACTTTGTTAAATTTTAAATAAATTGCGTTTTCTATATGCGATATCAAAATATATCAAAATTTTGGGAAAATAAGAAGGTACCTAAAACACCTATTGCTCCTAATGATGATGAAATCTGTGAATTTTTTTTATACTCGCGTAACAATAAGGGTAGCTATATAACAATTTAAATGTAAATGGTTACCTACATCTTTCGTTGGTAGCAGAGATCTGGCATTAGCCAATTTTTACTCTCTAAAACGTCGTCTATCGATAAATAAAAGCTTATATTTTTAAAATATTAGCTAGATCTTAGTCATATTGAAGAGGTTTCCAATCTATCTCTTCCTATTATTTCTTATTATATCCCTCATTATTGTTTAATTAAACCTAGTAGTGTCTCGACTAAACGTACGGTTGTCTTTATTGTCTCCGCACGTTTGTCTAATCAAAAATTCCTTAAGGGAGTTCACTTGCGACAGTCGTACACAAAAATATTGCCCTATAGCGAATACCAACCGTTCGAGATTCTTAAATCTAAAGAAAAATTATTTTTGTAACAGACTGTACACACAACACATGTGATCCTATATACAAATGTGGTATTATATCGCGTAAAATCCATCCGGCAATGTCGCAAATATATTGTGAAACGTCAACTGTATTCATAAAGTAAAATAAATGTAAATATCAAAATGTTTCATTGTCAGAATCAATTAATTGCGAGATAAAGGAAAATTTGTTAAGCAGAACGTCCTCAACAAACGCAAAAAATCAATTTTGGCTATGAATAATGCAAAAAAATTGAGAAAGGAAACCTCAAGCTTGAAAAATAACCTGTGCAGTGGTCGCATCGTGGAATTACGAGAGTTGGGAAAACATTTAAAATGTTGCTTGTGTGAAAGAGTTCTTTCTTTTTTTATTCAATTTTAAATGTAATCAATGTAAAATTGAAACTATAGTACCTACGGACAAATTTCATGCAACAAATTGCCAAAACACATTGTAGACGATGAAAAAATTAGATAAGCAATATCCAGCTTCGCTCCGTTTAAATCGCCAGGACTTGACAGTATCTGTCCAGCCCTACTTCAGTGGGGTCTGGAAGAACTCACACCGTACCTGGTGGGTATATTCAGATCCTCGTTGGCTCTAAGGTATACCTCCAAAAAATGGAGAAAGGTAAAAGTGGTATTTTTACTCAAACCTGGAAAGACGGATTACACAGTCTCAAAAACATA